CTGTTAATTAGTGCTACAAGGCGGATTTAAACATTCGTTTTTTTTGTATTTTCACTTTTTGCCTAGTCTTAGTCTATTGTTAGACATCCTATTCAGGCTTTACTTTCACAGACATATATTGTTTACTATTTTTATCTTCAAAAATTACTGAGACATCGATTATAAATGAATAAAGCTTTTCGAGAATTCAATCATGTGGAGGTGAAAGCGGTGTAACATAATTTGGAAGCATCTGGCGATATTCAGATGTGTTGCTAATAATTGAATACAGTTCTTTTCGACGCTTTCTTACAGTTTCATTAATCTTAATAATCTTAGTCGCGGATCTATTGACAGCAAACTACATCCAACATTTTGGTTAGAAATTTTCTAAATGTTTATCAAAGTTAGATGAGACATACCCGAAACTTGAGTAATGTAAATATAAAGTTTTCCACATCTTCTGCTTGAGATGGTGAAAAGGGGATAGAAACAACCGCGAATTTTCGTAAACGATAAAATATCCCGCCTACCAAATCAAATGTAAACAAGGCAAGTTTGGTGTAACCTAATACATATATATATGAATATTATGATATTCTTATGAAATAATCTAATTTGAAAATATGCGCATAAAAACGAATCTTAGCTGGCTCACCAATTGATTGAATAGCGAATAGATCTATGTCGCTATATTGTTCTCTGATCTCACGATTAATGTCTATGGTTTTGTAATTGACTAACTCCCTTTCTAGTCGTTCTTTAACATCCTTCATCATTCTTATCATTTTTTCACGATCTCCTGTTACTTTATTTTCATCAGCACCATTTCGACAACTTTCGCCAACCATGATTTCAACTTTTCTCTTTGGAATAACAACTCGCAAACGAAAATCAGGTATACGTCCATTCCTATTATTTTCTTTATGAATCCGTTCGGCGCTTGCCTCTGACGTTTCATCACCCCTTATATTATAAGTTATAGATATCTACTTAATTTTTTTTACAAAAATAGAACTTATTTTTTACAAAAATAGAACTACCTACCATGTTAAAATATATGGTGCGTCAAGACCGAAAAAAAGCTCATCAATCAAATGACCTGTCTGTGTGACAGTAATATGGTTTTCAGGTGGATTTCTCTTGTCCATATCATGACCCGGATGTTTTTCATTACGCCAGAAGTGTCGACTAAATTGTACTGATGTTAGTGCAAAGGCCTACAACGTAGAATTTATTTAAAAAAAAAACAATATACTTACAGTCTATTTAGCAACCCAATTGCGCATCTTACATAAGGTTCATCTTGTTTTGACACATGACCTTGAAGATCTTCAGGCACTACGAAAGGCACATCGTGACAAAACTCCCAGTTTATATTTTTATATGTTTTTACGAAAAACTGAACTAGTTTGTCTACAATGGAAAATACAGTATCTTCGATCATAACCTTTTTAAAATATGTGCGATCTTTGGAACTGAGAAGACTGAATGTTGGATCATGCGAATTTGTAGTATCCAGTACTCCGATAACACTGGGTGATGTAAAATGAAGACGTTCTAACTTTGTCTTGATGAACGCATCAACAACTTGTTTGACTTTGTGTTGTTCGTCTTTACTCATCCAACTGGCTTGTTTCTATAAACGTTATGGTCGAAACACTCACAAATAATTGATGCATAAATCTATAAAACTTTACTGCAACATTTACGTATTATATCTTACCATTGCTTTCTGCATTTCCTCTATGTTCCTTTTAAAATCCTTCTTCCATTGTACTTTCGCATGCAAATATTTGTTTTGGCGCTTTTTTGAAATTGATTTAAATAGACGATCACGCTATATCATATAGAAATAATGATGGAAATAGTTAGATAAAATCCATGAATACAGTGCAAGGCACCAATAACTACAATGTGGGCTATGTCAGTATCATACAAGACGTCAAAAAGATGCTATCCTCGCTTCCACTTGGAAGAAGAGAGTATTATACAAAACATCAAAATAAGCGTTATCCTCGCTTCCATCTAGGAAGAAGAGTTGTGCACAAAACGCCCAAAGGATGATGCTATTCTCGCTTCCGTTTGGAAGAAACAAACATCTAAAAAACGCTGGGTATGTATATGGTTTTTTTAATCATGAACCCAATGCGTAAGCAGACTTTTTCAAAGACTACCTTTTTACCCAGTAACCGTGTGTCAGTTTCGGCTTTTTCCAAATTATGGAGCTCGGATACAGTTTTTACGTGATTTTTAGCTTCTATTATTCCACGTGACCATCTGTTATACGCTTCTTCTGAGCTTCTTGGAGGTAGTTCCGACTGAAACTCTCGTATTAGCCATGTTTCATAATTCAACGTCAAAAAATCATCTGCATTTCGAACGAACCAATGTGTAGACCTGTGAGTGTATTTTTTCTCAGACATCTCTGATAAAGAAATTAAATATCAAAAATTGTTTATTTTATAGTTTAACCTGACCTTTTGATCGTGTTTTGTGTCGATCATACTTGACGCGTAATATGTAGCAATTAAATTTTATACATAACAGATAAGATAATTAGCCGAATTTGGTTGTCATTAGGATGGTCGCACGATTATATCAGCATGCAGAATTTCCATAGTCTTCGAATTTTTTCTGAAAGTTTGTCCAACTACATATTGCATAAATCATATTCTTGATATTTTTATAAATCATTAACCCTAAAAGCATCAAAAAAATAACTCAGACATGGCTTTAGCCATCCTCTTTATATATCAATTCTTAAAAAATTCATGTAATGCTTTCTATTTTAATAAAAGTGTAACACTAATGTCATGCTATATGAGATGCAATAATAAATCAAAAAAGATTTTTGGATAAATCATATTCTTGATATTTTTATAAATCATTAATTCTAAAAGCATCAAAAAAATAACTCAGACATGGCTTTAGCCATCCTCTTTATATATTGATCCTTAAAAAATTCATGTGATGCTTTCTATTTCAATGAAAGTGTAACACTAGTATCATGCTATATGAGATATAATAATAAATCAAAAAGAATTTTTGGATACAAGTATACAAAATGAATATCATTATCATTATTATCAAATTGCTAATTCTGATTTATTGTTTGTGGCTCCTTTAGAAAATTATCACATTCACATTGCTTATATATTCCATTTGTTACTTTTTTAAAGATCTTACAATATAGGTATAAATGATGATTACATTCATTACAAACCTTACATCTGTGATTTCATTCTCTAAAGATATGTCACTTTTCAAAGTAAATTTGCTTGTCTTTATATATTGATGTGTTATTCTGATTTTTTATTGTTATATTAACAGAAAAAACATATATATAACTAAATTTTTTTAATATGTACAAACCTGTAATATGTAGCAGCAGTTATATTTATGATCAATTTATAAACAAATTATACATGTATCTTATAGAAATTATACAATATGTATCTATATAAATTATACATAAGCTGTAAGATAATATTGATGATATGTACTACACGGATCTCAAACTGAAAGATCACAACAATAATAACTTCTAATTTTGATTATATAATAATAAAATTTTGCTTCAAATTTATAACTAGACACATTTAAAAATCAAGTAATAATAAAATATAACTTTATTATAAGATT